GCATAAAACTTCTTGTTCAGACAATCGCTCAGAGGAACAAATTTGTTTACATTTGCAGAAGATAATTCTGCCTGCTTCTTGTTTACGTCACCTGAAAGTGAGAACAGGTGTTTGCGTTGCATTATTGTAGGTGGCGTTGCAAAATATTTATGTGCCAGATGTGCTAAAGATTCATATATCTCTTGATGCTTCAACCACCATTCCAGAGAACATGAGTCCATGCTGATGACAGGTTCTGCTCGATAACAATCCAAAGCAGTGCGGACCAACTCAAGTTCATTTTCATCATCTGAGTCAGAAAGTACCAGCAGAAGGTTGATATTTGGGGGCGGGGACTGATTCAGATTCTGTTTCCACATCAGTGCTGCTCTTTTAAGACTTCTGAAAGCATGCTCTACACCTCATCCCTGTCAGATTTTGGAAGGCACTTCACATTCTTAAATCTTGGGTCAAGTGCTGTAGCTATCTTTAGAAATTTCACATTGGTATCTTCTTTGCATTTTGTCAAATTTGCAGTGAAAGCATTCTTAAAATGAACATGTACTGGGTCATCACCCGAGACTGCTATAATATGAAATATATGGCAGAATGCGGTAAAACAGAGCAGGAGACATACAATTCTCCCACAAGGCCTTCAGTCACAAATTTAATTAACACATTTTTTTAACAAGCTGTCAAGGTTCCTCCCCCACTCTGAACTCTAGGGTACAGATGTGGGGACCTGCATGAAAAAACCTCCTAAGCTTATCTTTACCAGCTTAGGTCAAAACTTCCCCAAGGTACAAAATATTCCACCCATTGTCCTTGGATTGGCCGCTACCACCACCAAACTAATACTGGTTACTGGGGAAGAGCTGTTTGGACGCGTCTTTCCCCCCAAAATACTTCCCAATACCTTGCACCCCACTTCCTGGACAAGGTTTGGTAAAAAGCCTCACCAATTTGCCTAGGTGACTACAGACCCAGACCCTTGGATCTTAAGAACTATGAACAATCCTCCCAACACTTGCACCCCCCCCCTTTCCTGGGAAATGTTGGATAAAAAGCCTCACCAATTTGCATAGGTGACCACAGACCCAAACCCTTGGATCTGAGAACCATGAAAAAGCATTCAGTTTTCTTACAAGAAGACTTTTAATAAAAATAGAAGTAAATAGAAATGAAGAAATCCCCCCTGTAAAATCAGGATGGTAGATACCTTACAGGGTAATTAGAGTCAAAAACATAGAGAACCCCTCTAGGCAAAACCTTAAGTTACAAAAAAGATACACAGACAGAAATAGTTATTCTATTCAGCACAATTCTTTTCTCAGCCATTTAAAGAAATCATAATCTAACACATACCTAGCTAGATTACTTACTAAAAATTCTAAGACTCCATTCCTGGTCTATCCCCGGCAGAAACCAGTATATAGACAGACACACAGACCCTTTGTTTCTCTCCCTCCTCCCAGCTTTTGAAAGTATCTTGTCTCCTCATTGGTCATTTTGGTCAGGTGCCAGCGAGGTTACCTTTAGCTTCTTAACCCTTTACAGGTGAGAGGAGCTTTCCCCTGGCCAGGAGGGATTTCAAAGGGGTTTACCCTTCCCTTTATATTTATGACACAAGCGTCATCGGCATGGAAGCATGTCCTCTGGAATGGTGGCTGAAGCATGAAGAGGCATATGAATCTTTAGCGCCTCTGGCACATAAATATCTTGCGACGCCAGCTACAACAGTACCATGCAAACACCTGTTCTTACTTTCAGGTGACACTGTTGTGACGTTATTGACATAAACTGTGACTGTTTCGATCATTGTTGAAACCAAGGTCCTATACTTGCACCAAATCTTGTACAAAGGAGGTCAAATAAGGTGTCTATGGAAAGGTTACCATTTGCGAGTTATGATTATGCTCTCTGTATGTATCATTTTGTATTTGAAATTATGAATATTGGCTATGTCCTGGTATCTCAATGTGTTTGATTCTAAGTAGCATCTGTGAAGCATTTGGTCAGCTTCTTGCGAAAGGACTATTCTGAGTAAGTGCCCAATCAAGAAACACTTAACTGACAATGGACTTTTGGAGTCGCCAGTCCACATCTGAGCTTTCTTGGGAATATTCAAACTAACATGTAAACAATGATGTCGGCCTGCAAAAAGCTGAATCATTCATGGATATATGACTTGCCCAGGTGGCTACAAACTCCATCTTGTTGCTGTGATTTTGCACAGAATAATGAAAGGGTTTCCACCCACAAGAGAGAGACTATAAAAGGCCCTGGAAGCCCCTCCATTTTGTCTTCAGCTGGCTCAAGAGATGGCCTCTCTACCCCAAAGAGAAGCCTGAAAGAAACCGGGACAAAGGACTGTAACTACAGGGGTGTGAGTGATTGCTGGACCCAGGTCATAAACCACAATGTTGGTCTGAAAAGGATTGGACCCAGACTAGGAAGGAGACTAGTTTGTGAAAGAAGCTTATTGGGACATCTCTGAGAGTGAGATTTACCTGTATTCAGTTTCCTACTGTATTAGGCTTAGACTTGTGTATTTTGTTTTATTTTGCTTGGTAACTTACTTTGTTCTGTCTGTTATTACTTGGAACCACTTAAATACTACTTTTTATATTTAATAAAATGACTTTTTCTTATTTATTAATTAATCCAGAGTAAGTAATTAATACCTGGAGGAGCAAACAGCTGTACATATCTCTCTATCAGTGTTATAGAGGGCAGACAATTTATCAGTTTACCCTATATAAGCTTTATACAGAGTAAAATGGATTCATTTGGGGTTTAGGCTTCCAGAAAGACTGAATACTGAGTGCTGGGAAAGTCCCTGTTAACTGAGAAGCCCCTGGACTAAGGGAATCTTAGTTTTTGTGAACTGCAGGGGGGCATGGCCCAACTTCTTGGTCTGTGCTGTAGCCGGCTGGAGTGTCTAGCTCAGCAAGATGGGAGTGGAGGCAAGCCTTCTCTGCCAGGGGGGTTTGTTCTCAGTGATATCCCAGCACATCTAGTGACAGTCTTGAGGGAATTTTTGTGACCAAACCCATCACAATTGTAATTAAGAAGTGGGCAGCATTAACTCCCGTAAATGTAAACAAACTTGTTTGTCTTAGTGATTGGCTGAACAAGAAATAGGACTGAATGGACTTGTAGGCTCTAAAGTTTTACATTGTTTTGTTTTTGAGTGCAGTTGTGTAACAAAAAAAACCCCTACATACGTTAGTTGCACTTTCATGATAAAGAGATTGCACTACAGTATTTGTATGAGGTGAAGTGAAAAAATACTCTCTTTTGTTTATTTGTTCAAATATCTTTTATTTGTAATAAAAATATAAAGTGAGCACTGCACACTTTGTATTCTGTGTTATAATGGAAATCGATATATTTGAAAACGTAGAAAAACATTCAAAATATTTAATAAATTTCAATTGGTATGCTATTAACAGTGCAATTAATCACGATTAATTTTTTTAATCAGGATTAATTTTTTTGAGTTAATCGTGTGAGTTAACTGCAATTAATCAACCGCCCTAATAACTATAAAAAAAGTTAGGAAAATCATGTTTTACTGATTATGACAGATTTTGAGCTGCTCTGTAACAATGTACAGTATTAGTACTGTATGTTTGTTGACCTGGTTATTGGGCTGTTGACTGACTACACTGGGGTTAATTCAAGAGACAGCTGTCCGGGAAAACAGGCAGGAAGGAAAAGAATGGTTCAATATAGCCATGTCAGCAAACATTTGAGAGTTGTTATGGGACAATACCAAAACAACTGGCTTGATCTCCAGCTGAGCCTACAGGATTGGATTTGACCAGAAGGGTCTAAGCCTGAGAATGCAGAAGAATCACAGGAGTATAACAGGGCAAAAGGGACTTTCTCTCAAGAGAGTGGCGGGGGTGGCAGCCATGTGCCCAGTTTTTGACTGGAAATTCCTGTCGAAAAGGGCACCTGACAGTGTCCGGTCACATCTACTGCCCGGACACCCAAAGTCTGCTTACTGCAAGTGGGGGAGGTACCAGGTCATCACCCTCTCCAGCCCCTACTCAGCTGGGGCTGCCTCCTACCTTTGTCGGGCAGCTCCCAGCCCCGCCTCCGCAGGCAACTCCCTCCTACTTCAAGATAAACAATATGTTGGTTTAAGAAGGCTGACTGATCACTATATTTACTACTGGTCAAACTCCCACAGGGAACAACGGCGGATGCCCATATTTACCTGGATCTGCTAGGCAAGAATGCCTTATACCCTGGGTACCACAGCACAAGACCTAGTCTAGGTGGAATTTTGCAATTCATCTACTCTGAGGAGAGCTAAAGATATGAGGTCTCTCACCTGACAGGGGTGCACTTAGAGACCAGACAGGGACAGAGGTGCAGCTAGCCCTGTAACACTGACCACTCTACAAACCAAACACTGTTTTGCAATACAGCCAGTTCCTAACTGTGCCAGACAACCCTGCACTGGCCGGGTTAAATATGTAGACTGCGATTTTTCAAAGCTACCCAGGGAATTTGCATGCCCAATTCCCAGTAACTTGAAGGAGATTTGGCTTGGAAATCTCTCACACAGTTTTGAAAATCTCAGCCATAGTGTAGATGAGCCTTGAGGTAAATATCCTAGGATCTGTCTTGTGCTGTGCTCAGACATAAAGTGGGGTGCGAAAGGGTGAAGGCAACCTTTTCACAGGCAATAGAGTAGGATATTTCCATAATGCACAGACGTGCACTAAGAGAGAGCTGACAGTTCACATGCCAGCCAGCACCGCGCACACCCAAGGCATGACTGGGCTGACGGTTGGGTGCAGGCTCAGCCAGCTCGCCTGCAGTTTGCCAGCAGCAGACGGTGACGCGCAGCAGACCGCGGGCATGCAGCCTGCTTCAGCTCAGCGCAGTGACGCATGCGCCACAGCAGCTGCCCCTGACCCGTGCCGGGCACTGACAGGGATTTGTGGGGCAGTGGAAAATAACGGGGCTGGGGCCGCTTCACGTTTTGACTGACTGCCCCCCCCCCCCACGCGCACTCCGTTTCAGATTCACACGAGGGGCACTAAGCAAGAGCAGCAGCGCCCCTTTCTCCTCCGCCCCAGCTAGGCAGGAGGGCGGGGCGCCAAGGTGGGCAGAGGAGAAGAGCCCGGCGGGCTAGGCGGTGCGGGGAGGTAGCCCGGAGCGGCTGAGCCCATTATCCCCCCCGGCGCCGGGAGGGAGGCCGTGGCGGCGCCGCCCTCTGGAGAGAGAGCCGGCGAGAGGCTGGTGCGAGGAGCAGCATCCCAGGGAGGGACGGGCTAATGCAAATCGCCGCGATCAGCCGCAGACAGGAGAAGAAAGGCGAGGCAGCTGCAGCCCAGCCTCACCCGCAGCACCGGCCAGCCGGGGGGGCCAGAAGACACATAACAAAAGGCGTCCAAGCCGCTCCTCGCGGCCACGCTTGCCATCAAAGCAGGGTGGGGGGGGGGACTGTTGAGCTGAGCTCTTTCCGCGGAAACCCGGCACCCCCTTCACAACCAACCCACCTACTTAGGTTGGGGGCAGAGGCGCTTCCAGTCTCCCCCCCTCTCCCCGCGAAATAGGTAAGTGTTTTGATCTGCCAAGCCAAAGACCGTTCCTCTTGCCCTTTCCATTCCGGCGCGTGCTGGGGTGAGCCTCGCCGGGCTTGTCCCGGACCGCTGCAATGTACCTTTCTCGCCGCCCGACTGCGTGTGTGCACCTGCCCCTTTTGTCTGGGGCTCTGATTTCGGGGGTAGCTGAATCTTCGGGTAGGATGGTGGCTAAGCTCTACGTTACCCCCGCTTTCCCTTGCTGTAGCTGGTGCTGCGTACTTCGCCCCCCCCCTTTTTTTTTTTTTGGTGTGTGGCAGAGGTTGCGAGGAGGATCCTCTCTCTGTTTGAGAAATGGTCTGACATTGGGTGGCAGATTCCGCTGTGGAGCAAACCTGTTATATGACGGGCATGCTCTACTTTTCTCTCTCTGTCTCTCTCCCTCTCTTTTAAAGAGGTGACTAAGTAAGTATTCACCGACTCTATATTCTGCTTTTAAATTCCATTTTGTTCATTTATAGTGCACCTTGCTGCTTAGCGCTGGCGATTTTTCTCTCTGATTTTGGAGAAGCCAATTATGTAATTATACCTGCAGTGTTGAAAACGTGTAGACCGTTATGGAAAATGTATTTTTCTCTCTTACCCCGGGTCCAAATCATGCCATCAGTTTTTTAAGCAGAGCTTCCTGTTTAAAAACTGATGGCACAATATGGCTCATGAATAGAGGGTTCAGCTGGCTTAGTTGAATTTCAGACACGTTTTGTGTCACCTCAGAAGAATACATCTTTTTTGAAACCATTATGACCTACATCAGATTGAATCGAGGAAATCATTAGAAAATGCACTCTTTCAGACTTTATTCAATAATCTTTATTGTGTCGGTGTGTGTATTTGGGTCTGAGTGATTGTTTTATGTAATCACCCACTCACACCTACACACACAATCTGCCTTTAACACATTCATGTGGTATGAACTGTGGGGCCTGTGCCTTTTTACATAGTAACATTTGATCAAACCAATTAATTGTCTATAATTTCATTGTCTTAGTTTGGCCTTCTGATGTGAACACATTGGAGTGTGAATGGCAGGAGCACATTGTTCTAGGGAGAATCTTATTTCCCTTTTAAAGGGGTTTAATGTGAGGCAAAAATCATTTGTGAAAGTATGGATCATTCCTCATACTATCCACTAAGACTCGAGATTACTAAAAATGAAAATTTTGTGATGTTTCTTTTACAGGGAAGGGGTGTGTGTGTATGGTTTTTTTTCTTTAATTTGACTTGGTATGGACAATGAAACCACAGTAGACGTTGAGGGGGTTTTTTGGTTGTTTTTTTGTTCTTCCAACACAAAGACCACACTTTGGAAGTGAAACTGATGAGTTCTGTAAGGGGATGTTTAAATCCCAATAAATGGCTTTTATTGGAATAATAACTTAAACCCCCCCCCACACATCAAATCATGGCTGTTAATCTTGGGTTTATATTGACCTGACAGTGCCCCTTTAAATAATGTAAACTTTTATCATTCTCAGTATAATGGGGTGACAGTGAAGTGCTGGTCCAGAGAGAACTTTTCTGTTCTTTGAATGAAGTTTTGTCAGGGTGGGGGCAGGGGGACTGATCTAGAAAGGTGTTTTCCATAGTGTGTGAGTGTGGGGAGGAAGGGTGTTTTTTGTAGTACAGCAAATCTTCATATGCAGATGCAAGGCAAAGTATGTAAATATAACCAGGATCCCATGTTTGGATAATAAAATGAGTCCAGCTCTAACCAAATTCGAATAAATAACCTCCACAAGGACCCTGATCTTGCATTGGCTTTGGTACATGTTTAGTTTAAGCATATAAATAGTCCTATGAATTTGGGAGGGACTACTCACATGCTTGAGAGTTGGGCACTGGGGCACACTATTCACTTTAACATATACCGGTATAAACAAAATGGTATAGGTCCATCTCTCTGTCATATTGAACCATTTCTCTGTTGTTGATTTGTTTTGTAACTGTCATTTAATGATCAGTGGTAATGAAACTGGTGCTTTCTATCTTGTGTTTTTTTCCTTTTTATTGGAAATCCATGACAGAGCACCCTTCTAAATTAGGTCTGTGAATCTGTGCTATAAATAAATGTACTGTGCTTTGCTTTGTGTTCTGCAGACAACTTTTACTACAAGTCTAGGGTGGCTCTTAAAACAAAACGAGACTAGTCTGTTTAAAATAACAAACCAAACAAAATCGAAGGATTTATTTATATAGAGATGAAAACTGACATAACAGTTGTAGTAACATATGTTTTTAACAAGATTAGTTCAGGATTTTTGTTTTTTAAATATATATACACACCTTGAAAAAGGGAAGTGAGTGCTACACATTCCCTTACATATAAATAAAATAGCTAAGATCTTCAAGGTATGTGCTATATTAAAAAGTTGGAATCATTCAATTAAGAACCCAGTCATCTTGGAGCCTTATTTGTGGTTGTCTCAGGTGTTTAGTATCAGTTGCTAATTCATTCAGTGTTTCTGAAGTCATCAGTCAGTTAGTGATTTATTCCAATTGGCGTTACAGATTTTTCACCAGAAAAAAGGATCAGGGATGACAAATTCTTAGCACTGAGTTAAGGATATTTACTGCTTTACCCTTTTATTTGTATATTCTGAAAGGTAGTTTGCTCAGTGGATGATATTAGTTTCAGGAGCTCCTGCTAACCATGTCTGTCTGTTTCGTGGTAATTGAGTACCTCCACCTGTTCACTGTGTGCTAAAGGTTTGGGAGTGGTGTTAACTCCAATCAGTCTAGTGTAGAACGTGGGGTGAGGTGAGATGTAATGGCTGTCTGGAGCGAGACTTTTTCATGAATGAAAAAGTCATCACAGTCAACTCACTTGTATTAATAGTCCTAATTTCTGTTGCTAACCTACATGACTGCTTCTTTGGAAATGTTCTTAATTGGTTGTGTCACATTGGCTGGCAGTAAATATAATCCACTAAGTGGCAACTTTTTTGTGGTCAGACTTGGAATGAGCAATGCTGAGAGCATGAGTAGTTTGGTTGTCACTTTTAATAGGATTGGAAGCTTCACTTGGGTGCAAGACTAGCGAAAACCAGTTGAGCTACTGAGAAGAAGAGCAGCTGAACTTTGTACCATATATTAATGTCACATAGGCATTGTGTGTCTCCTTAATTTTTGATCAAATGCTTTTTTTTGTGTGGTGGTGATGGTTTGCTTCTTGGTATATTATAAAGATGGCAACTAGGTTACACAGTCTACTTTTTGGTGAACAAGTTTTTTCCATGTGCTGTACAGTTATGGTTTTAAAAAAAAATGTAGATTAACCTTGATCACTCTACAGGAGAGCCTCCCATAGTGTTTTATTTGTACGCTGAATTCTTATGAGTTCTAATTGGAGTTATAAAATACTTTATCCATTGAATTCTTTCTCTTTCTCATCCCAGATTTACCGTCAAAGATGTCCTTTGGAAGAGACATGGAGCTGGAACATTTTGATGAGCGTGATAAAGCACAGCGATATGGCAGAGGGTCACGGGTAAATGGTCTGCCTAGCCCTACCCACAGTGCCCACTGCAGCTTTTACCGAACCCGCACTCTACAAACCCTCAGTTCTGAGAAAAAAGCCAAGAAAGTTCGTTTCTATCGCAATGGAGACCGGTATTTCAAAGGGATTGTCTATGCCATCTCCCCCGACCGGTTTAGATCTTTTGAGGCCCTGTTGGCTGATCTGACCCGAACTCTGTCTGATAACGTGAATCTGCCCCAGGGCGTGAGAACAATCTACACCATTGATGGTGCCAAGAAGATTTCCACCTTGGACCAGCTAGTGGAAGGTGAATATTTAAGAAAGGCAGGGTGTAAAGTTCCTGTCTGTGTCACTACTTTACTTTACTTTACCACTGTTATATTTGCATCAATGCATGCCTAATATTTCAAATATGTTGTGAGCTTCTTCATGACAGACTTTCCACAAATATGAAGAGTACATAGTATTGTGACTCAGATTATCACATAGGCTTTTCTTTTCTCATAGGAGAGAATGTACATCTCAAACATAGCTTGAAAAGCATTACTGTCCACTTGCACTTAAAGAGGAAGCTATTTGTCTCCTTTCAGGACCATGGGTTCTATATTCCTCCCTGAAAGTAGAGAAAGGGAAAGGTCACCTCCCTCCATGGTAGCCCTCCTAAATTTCAGAGCTCTCTTATTTTGACAGTTCCTAATTGCATGTTAAAATCTTGCAGAAGGGTTCTAAACTAAACTAGATCAAGCCAATGGTACCCTTATTTATCTACTTGTTACAACAGCAGATGTCCTCAGTGATACTAAAGGCCAGTACTGATGGGGTTTAAAGAATTTATATCACTTCATAGTAAAGACCTCTAGTTGTTCCTCTCTAATAAATGTCTTGCCTTATGTGAGTGGAGAGTTACTTCTGTTAAGTAACTGGAGTTAAAGTAGGCTCTATGATAAAGGCTAATATTACTCTTCAGCTCAGTCAGGACCCATTGTCTGAACCATTTTATTTCTCCCTACAATGCAGTGGTGATATCAAACCCATCACCAGTGGAATACACATTGTTCCCTAGTGCTAGGGAGCTCCAAATTCAGAGTCTTCTTCTAAACCAGGGCTCCCTCACCTTGAGTGCAGTACACTGCCTTCAAGATACCTGCTGGCTTGCCTTTGGCTTCTTTCTCCATACAGAGAGAGCAGTTCTTAGAGTAGAATAAAGAAGCAGCCTACCTGGCATCCAGTCAAGTGGAATGGAGCTTCTGGAGTGTACTAGCTTTACAGAGGAAAGGATAAAACGTAATTTAATCCCCAGACATGAGACCTGCTGTCAGCCCAGCCCGTGGCCTTAACTGTGTGCATGTATTTTAGCAAAACTTAAAGGTAACTATGTGGGTAGAAGGAAAGAAGAGTCCTCCAGATTTTTTTTTAAGTACTATTCTACCCTTAAACAAAAATACCTTGAGTAACCCTGCAAATTTGGTCCTGACCTATTAACCCTTACTAATGTGAGTAGTCCCATTGATTTAAGGAGGTATTTATTTGTATTGCTACAATGACTAGAGGCCCCAATGAGGTACTAAGTGCTGTACCCCACTTTTGTGTGGTTTTTTTTTTAAATGTTCTTGTGACACAGAACTAACCATTTTAGCATATGATGATGAGAGGGGAACAGGTGGAGAAAAACTAATATGGGGAGGGAAAGAAGATCCTAATAAACAATGTATTTGGCATAACAAAGCAATCTTGGCACACACCATACTTAGCTGTTATCAAGGGGTTTTTGAAGGCATCACAGCAGAGAGGCCTTAAGGAAGGGTTTGAAAGAGGACAAAGTGATGAAGGAGGAATTTTTTACAGAGCTCCTCCCTGCGTAGGAGGCAGAGTGAAAGACAATGTAAAGGTGCTTGAGTGTCGGTGGCACTGCTCTCATAAGTAAGGGATTGCAGGTTCAAGCCCATAACTTTGGTTTCAGTGTTTCAGTAGTATACCTGAATAGTAGACCTGTGCAGTATTTATATTATGCTGGGGGGAGTGTAACTGCCAGGAGGACGATGAAAGAAATAGCCATTGCTATCCATTCCAGGACCATGCTTCTCTTTCCTTTAAATAATTAATTGAGCTCTTCACCAGGAAGCAAATGTCCCTAATATAAATGGTAACTGTCTGGCAGCTAAAGCCTGTGCAAAAGCCAGCTATCAAGGACAGAGAACATGATGCAGAGGGTATATTAAAATCAAATTACCTTGCAAATATTAACCTGATCAGCTGATGTGCTTGTCTAGTAATTTATCAGTTATTGCCAACCTGTGAAATAATGTATATGTTGTTTATTATTGGGGGGGGAGGGAGAGAAGAAAAAGGAAAAAAAAGAATATTTGGGGCAGACAAACCAAATGTCTTCTCTTCCTGTGCCTGCCCCTCCACCCAGTGTTGGTGTAATGCTCAAATCTAAAGTGTATATTCCTATTTCTATGTGCCACTTGTAGGACTGAAAGGAGTAAATCTTTGTGCATAATTAAAATTATGTGCTTACTCCACCCAAAAAGAGTTGGTCTGTTCTGGAGATCTGGTGCTGTGTGTACATACTTCTATAAAACTGCAAAATGGAATCCTTTGGAGATTTACAAGCCAGTCAAAACAGTGCAGAATACAGATTCACCCACTGGCTGTTAATGGAATGAGGGTTTTTTTTTTATTTAAACCTCTGTTTTTCTTTTTAAATCTAACAGACTTTGCTAGTTTATAACAGCAATAATTAGCTTGCAGCTGCTGCTTTTTGTTTAAAGAGCTGGAAAATCACTTGGCTTTGCCAGCTCCCCATTTACATTCCTGTTCAGGCTGTTAAAATGTCAAGTGTTGCTTTGTGTTTATGATTAGATTAATGCACTCTCACTATATGTACTAACTTCATGAGATCTTTCTCACTTGGATATCTTCCTTTTCTTTTGATGATGATACATTTTTTGATGAGACTTTGAGGCTATGTCTATACTGCCACTTATGTTGGCAAAACTTACATCACTCAGGGGTGTGAATATTCCACCCCGTTGAGCAACATAAATTAAGCTGGAATAAGTGCTAGTGTGCACAGTGCTAGGTTGGTGGGAGCTTCTTCCACTGACCCGAGCTTCTGACACTCGTGAGAGGTGGGTTGGTGTTGGTTTTTTACGCTGATGGGAGGGCTCTTGCCTGTCTGCATAGAGCGTCTTCACCACATGCCCTGCAGCAACACAACTGCACCAGTACAGCTGTGCTACTGCTGCACTGTAAATGTAGACATGCCCTTAGGTGCAAACCCTGTAACTAGAGATGGTTCATTCTGAAATTCAGCATTCATTCTTTTCTCATTCTTCCCTCTCCACTGGGGAGAATGCTGCATCCTTCCCGTAGGAGTAGGGCGAGGGAGGACTTTGTCTGTTTTCCTAGGATGACTCATGAGAGGTGTTGACAGGCTCTGGAGAGAGATGCTTTGGTGGTAAGGATGTGGCTATAACGGAGCTGTGTGGGAGGTAGTCCTGAAGGAACAAATAGGATGAAAATTGGCTGCTTTGCATCAGCAGTGTTCTTTGTTGGTATGCAGGAAGCCTAATTCCAGTCAGGTGAAATTTTTTCACCTTCCATTTCCCCCCCCCCCCCCCCCCCCCCCCCAAAAAAACAAACAAACAAACAAAAAAACAAAAAACCACTTCAGGAGTCTTAGATGCTTCTTCCACTAATTAAAATCTACTGGACTACTTTGAAAAATTCAACTTGAATTCCTTTGGCAGTAAGACCTATCGTATGGAAAATGCACTTGGCTTTGCTAAGGAAAGGTGCGCAGATCTTTAATGTCCCCATAATTTGCTACCTTCCCTTCTCCTTTCACCTCTTCCAGATGAAGGACTGTAACGGCTTTCAGATTTACTTTTTGCTGTCAAATCTAATCTTGTAAATAGCTTCTGAATCTTGACTTACTATACATGGATTTGGGTTCCAAAAGATGTAGTTTTTTTCATTCCTCCTGATACAAATGGAATCCATAAACTACATATTGCAGACTACCTCATCATAGAGATGTGGCAAGACTAAGTTATCTATTCCATATGTAACTCTCAGGAATTGGCAAATGATTAATTTATCTTGCTTTTCCATATAAACCCTAGAGATTCATAAGAGTATATTAATTAAACGCAAGAGAAAGGCGGACTAGCAGTTCCTGGCCTTAAGAACTGTTACTGTACATCTTAACTACGAACAATAATAGATTGGATTAAGCATGAAGACTTTAAAACAGGGGTTATATATTCCTCAACCTTAGCTTGTGTGGTAATAGTCCAATTACAAAAAAGAAATAAACCATGAACTCTATGGCCATGATTGTGCTTATTTTATTTGTATTCCCATAGTGCCTACAAGCCCTAATCATTCACTAGGACCCCATTGTTCTAGGCGCTATACAACACAGAACAAAAGGACAGCCCCTGGCCCAAAGACTTTATAATCTAAGTATAGAACAAGATCCAACAGATGGATGGAGACAGAGGAGTACAAGAAAACAATGAGACAGAAGAGTCAGTTCACAAGTGTCCTAACTGTTGTGAAACTTTTTGGTAGGCCTCACATCAAAGGACACTTTGGAAGGAGAGTAATGAGGTAGCTTTGTGCATAGTTCTGGGGAGCTCCCCCCAAGCATGGGGAGCATTGTGGAAGAAAGAAGGAAGGTGCTTGTTTGGTAAGTGGGCAATAGAGGCTGGCATCATGGACTGCTTGGAAGCAGAAGCTCCCACTTCAGTAGAGAGTGAGAGATGAGCTGTGAAGGCCTTGAGAGTGAAGACAAATAGCTGATGTTTGATGACATAGAGGGGTGACATGGCCAAAGCAACAGGCTAGGAAAGTGATCTTTGCAGTGGCATTCTGAGTGCTTGTAGATAGTGCTGTGGGCTTTAATGGGACTATACACATGAGTATAATTAAGCATATGTGTAAATGTTTGTGGAATCAGGGCTTTGAGCATCCGCAACCTTTAATATTTGGATGTCCTCCTTTCTTTGTAGTCCATTCCACCTAGTGGAGGGCTACCATCATTCCTCCACACAATTATCCTGAGACTCTATTGCCTTCCCCACACATGAGGGCTAAGGGGATGGGGAAGAGGCAGCTGTCTCCTCACTGTACCAGACTTTAGGAGATCCAGCCTCCTTCCCCATATTTGTTAGGAGATGTCTTCCATTAATCTACCTCCAATTCTGTTTTATTCTGGAACCCGACACCCTCTGTTGATCAATACTTGCATTGGGCATCTGCTGCCAGGAGGCACTAGCACTTTGTTTGGCTGCCGCG